AGTCGGCCGCTTGTTCCGCGCCCTGAGCTCTGATTGGTCAGGCGCGACGCCGGAGAGTAATGGGCTGTCTCCAGCACGTGCCCCGAACGCCGCCGAGCCCCTGCGCACCTCCTCCGACCCCGGCCACCCACCTTGCGCGTGTTTCCGCTCCGCTGCGGCAATTACACGCGGCAGAGGGCGCGGCTGCGGGCGGCGCTGTTGTCTCAGCGCCGACCGCACTGTGTGCGCACGCCGAAACGAAAACACACCGAGGCGTCGTTGCGATCGGCGTCTGTTGTTCCAGCCGGACTCGAGGGTGGACAACCGACGGCGGGCTGCAGGGACCTCAGGGACAGGACAACCGCGGCGTGAAAGCCTGGTGTGGCGACAATCGGCGGCGAGCTGCAGGGAGACCCTGGAGGCGGGACAGGGGTGTAAACGGCTGGTGCGATGAGGATCAACGGCACGTTACGAGGGATCTCTGGGGACGGGGTAGAGGCGTTGTGCAAAACTGACGCGACGACAACCGACGGCAGGCTGCGGGGACCTCTGGGACGGACAGAGGCGGTGTGGGCGGCTGGTGTGAAGACGACGACAGCCTACAGGGACCTCTGGGGCGGGACAGGGGCGGTGTGGGCGGCTAGTGTGAAGACGACGACAACCTACAGGGACCTCTGGGGCGGGACAGAGGCGGTGTGGGCGGCTGGTGTGAAGACGACGACAGCCTACAGGGACCTCTGGGGACGGACAGAGGCGGTGTGGGCGGCTGGTGTGAAGACGACGACAGCCTACAGGGACCTCTGGGGCGGGACAGAGGCGGTGTGGGCGGCTGGTGTGAAGACGACGACAGCCTACAGGGACCTCTGGGGACGGACAGAGGCGGTGTGGGCGGCTGGTGTAACGGATCGTGTGGAGTGATTGCTGTCCGACATATTGTAAGCCAGGGACGAGGAAGCCGTGCAATCTGAACGAGGGACTCAGGTATAGGGCTCTAAATGCAAGTTCTCGAAACGAGTTCTTTCTTAACAGCATTCTAGAAATATGCTCGGCAGGCTACCTTTTGGAGCAAATAATGGAGCAACTCCAGCTGCTCCATACGATCCTGATAAAATGCCTCTTTGACGGGGCAGATGCGGGTTCTGAAAGTTCCTCGTGAAGTTGTTCAATGCGCTGCCGTCTTGCCGTGCCTTCGAGTATGTTAAAATGCCATAACGTGGGAACTGCCACGAGTGTGTGACTCAGCTGCGTACACTCGGCGCTGACCTGTAAAGAGGTCTGTGACGTCAGACCAGAGGTTGGTGCACGGCGTGGGAGTCAGTGGTCGAATGTCATACATCGCTCGGACAGGCGGACATTGCCCCTGCCCTCCCCCCAGTCTACCGCTGCCGAGTGCCGACCGACCTTCATGTTGGGAGCTGACCCGTCTGCCGTTTGTGGGCTGAGTGCGCCGGGGGAAAACGCGAAGGGCGGAGGAGGGTCGGCAGCGAGCCGCCGGCGGCCGGGCTTCCGGACCGGCTGGCGGCCGCGCTGGCATTGTGAAGGGCGTGACGTAGATGATCGGTCTGCCAGGCGTGATTGGTCCGTTTGCCAGGCGTGACTGGTCCGCTTGCCAGGCGTGTACTGCTCATTGCGCGGGTGGCATCACCAACAACAACAATGGCGTTTGACGGCTGCCCGCACATATCTGCTCAGTCGTCGCGCATGCGCAGTTTAATTTGAGAGGCATGCATACTGTGTTTAAAAGAAACATGCGGAGGTAAGAAACATGTTGAGTTTAAACATTTGGAGGTAAAAAGTATGTAGAGGTTAAAAGGAGTCCAACACTGATGGCCTTTTGATAAGAATGACTGTTATGCCTTTTTCTGTAACTGCCTCGTGTTTTTGTTAATTGATGTTCTCCTAAATGTTCGTCATACCGCGCACGAACGCTTGCGACCGGCGGTCAGCGCTCTTGCCGAGCGGTCAGTTACAAGGCTTTCCCCCCGGCGCTCCTCGTGGGTGGTTCATTGGGGTTGGTAACACCCCCTCTGTCAGCCCTACACAAACCGAGGCCGATGAATGGGGCCGTTCTTTCCCGCCGGCCGCCGCAGCGGTCACGAGTATATGGGGAACTTTAACTCCGGCTGCAGGCGACACTTCGGTAGACAAGGAAACGCGAAACGGGCCTGGTTTGTGTTTATCTTCTGTATCGGAAGCGATTACCGATGTTCCGTGCGGCACGTCGAACACTCGCGCATCGCACCACCACTGAAAAAACTACCAAGAAAGTGGTGACCTTGGGCATGAGGACTCTGGGGGCCTGAATCCGCTTTGGTCGTCGGCCATCCATATTGGTCAAGAATCGCCGCCCTGCGATTTGTCTGTCTGTCACGCAGTCCTTGGCGTGTCCTGCAACACGCAGGTCGCACGGGAATTCGTGCTAAAACCCCTGGTGACCGTTACTTGTTATGCACAAAATAATGCAACGAATGAACGCATGGGTCTTCTTTTAAGGTGGGGTCCACGTTCACCTGTGGCTGTTTTCTCCTGCGACTCTGGCAGGCGCCAATACCCTTTCCGCGGGGCTGACACGGACGACATCCGGGGGTGCCCCCGCGTGCCTCCCTCCCAGTTCCGCTGCCGCCGGCTGCGCCCCGTTCCGGCCGGCTGCCGGCGCTCTGTCGCCCGTCCCGCGGACGTCCATGCCCGGCATGCTCGGGCTCGTGTCTCTCCCCCCCCCCCCCCCCGTCTTCCGCGTGGAAGGGGCGTCGCTGCCTGGCGTGGTCGACAGGGCCAGCACATTACGTAACGACGCCGAGGCGGCCCGGGGCGCCGGCGGCGGCGACGGCGGGGCAGAGGCGTCTTCTGTGAATGGCGCTGACGGCTCGCACGCCCTGGCTATGCGGGGTAATCGCAGTGGCGGGTCCTGAACAACGAAAAGCTGAGACGTTGACCGCGACTTCTGCTCGTGAGCGTAAGAATGCTCTGCAGGTCGTTTGGGATAGCTGATCCAAGCATAGTTTGTAAACAAAAAACCTACCGGCGGTGCCTGTGTCCGCCACTGAGCGCGCGAGTGCGCTTGCAGTTCCATCGCGTCTGGCGTATACATATATACACGCATTTTGATACGCGGCTGGGCGTATACTGAGCCGACTTACGGCTGCTGCTGATCATGTTAAGATCCCGTCGACAGCGGCGCCGCAGGGTGCGCGGCGAGCGGCCATCCTACCCTGCACGGCCGCTGTCCATCAGCCAAGGCTCGAAGCACGCCACTCACGAGCCGCGCGCTCAAAGCGAGCGCGTTCAGCGCAGACGTTATCAATACGCAGGCGTCGCTCCGCCGCACGCGGCACCACTTTGCGTGGGGCACCTCCGGCGCGAGGGAGATGTTTATTCAGCAAGTGGCGGCGGTGGAGATACCATTATCAGCGCGGGACTGGTGGGGCATTGTCGGCCCATTGCCACCGCCTGCACGAACCAGGCGGAAGGCGGACGTTCAGGCTGAAGGCGCCGGAAGCGCCCGGGCGCCCTGGGAGCCGGAGCTGGGCCGACCAGCGGGTCGTTTCAATGCGTGGAGTGTTGGGATTATTCGAGTTTGTTGTCGTTGTACGCCGCACTCTTGCCGATAGCACTGCTGCGACGGCAACTGGCAACAACACGGGCCACAACACGGCAACAACACGCCGAATCACGGCGACAAATAGCATAAGACGCTTTACGCGCGGCTCCCCTCACCGGTTAGAAAGGGAAATCAAATCAAATATCGACTTATCCTATATACAATCAGATTATATCGAGTCTTTGGAGTATTTGCTGGTTCTTTGGCATCACAAAAGGCTGCTGAGATGGCAGTAGATTTAAAGATGTGCTCAAGGTTTAAGTTGCCAAGTTAGGAGTGAGTGCAACACTTTCAAAGTAATGCGGTGCGACTTGCTGGACGAGTTTTGCCTTGATTGCCTTAAAGTTAAAGCGCTGTTGTGTGCCGGTGATAGTACTAGGCTTCTAGGCTTGGTCATGGAAGAAAGCTTTTTTGATACTTCTTTTATTTCATGCCGCGCAATCTGAGTCCCGCAAATTTTAAAATTGCATGTGCCTTATAGACACAAACTGGATGTTTAACATCGTCATTGATTCAAGGCGAAGTGCAATGTGGCGACGTGCCTCATGACGTGAAAGGAAAATGTGTGCACACGAAAGGAAAAGTGGAGCTGTCGAAAAAGGGCCATGAATACATTCCAGTGATCGGAAAATGTATGACCAACACGCTTAGCATGAAATGGCGTTGAGTTTGCTTACAAATGGCGGCGATTGCTGATTTCATTCCGCATAGGCTATTTCAACGAACATAAGCGGGCATACGTATACATGTTGTGTTTGTTTCATGGAGGTTCCTGTTCGTCTGTCATGTGGCAGAATAGCAGCACTTTCTCTATGTTACAAATCACTGCTCGGGTTGCGTTTTCCTGCCGACATTTGATCTTGTATACTTTAGTCCGTCCACCTGGACGGCAGTCTGTGACGAGTTGTCGAGCGCGTTATTCGCGCGGTTTTGACCGTGTCACAGCTGACTTCGCGTGACCCGTCGTGACCTCTGACGACCGATCGTAACCCCATGTAAGCCATTGTAACCTCGGGTGGCCCTTCTAGTCCGCGCGTGACCGATCTTAACCCGAACGCAATATGACCGCGGCAGTCGCCACGCCCAAAAACCCCAATCACCACCACCACTACCGGTCTTGACCTCACGTGCGCGGTCGTCACCTCGCATGCCTCGTGGTGACCTCACGTGACCGGTTGTGATCTGGCATGCCCGGTCGTGATCTTGGATAACTCATCTTGACCTCGTGTACCCGGTCATGACCTGGTGCGTCTCGTCATGACCTCGCGTGGCTCATCGTGACCTTGTGTGACCGTTCGTGACCTTGTTGCAGTCTATCCGGCGGGACATCGCCAGGACGTACCCGGTCATGACCTGGTGCGTCTCACCATGACCTCGCGGAGCTCATCTTGACCTTGTGTGACCGTTCGTGACCTTGTTGCAGTCTATCCGGCGGGACATCGCCAGGACGTACCCGGAGCATGACTTCTTCAAGGAGAAGAACGGCATGGGCCAGGAGAGCTTGTTCAACGTGATGAAGGCGTATTCGCTGCACGACCGGGAGGTCGGGTACTGCCAGGGCACCGCCTTCATCGTCGGTCTGCTGCTGATGCAGGTCAGTCGATCACTGAGGTCAGCGCCCTGGTCAGCTGACGTCGATCAGTGCTGACGGTAAAGCTGGAGATGCGCGGACACGAACAGTTGGTGTCATGGCCGACAGGGATCAGTGGGCCGTAGCTTGGCGAGTTCGCCACTTGACAAATTATATGAGAGATGCATTTCGCTACGCGTTAAAAAAAAAACGGTCGGTTTTGGTGCGCCCCGAAACCTTCACCAATAGCGGACGCACTTGATGGAGACGGACTGCAAACGCTCTCTCTCTGTACCTGGCGCTCACGGGTCCGGGCTCGCCGTCCGGCGGTACCCTCGCCTTACGTCTGCCCGGTCGTCGCCGTACCCTGCCGCGGGTCTGCAGGCCCCCTGCTGAGCCACCTGTGCGTGCCGTGCCGCTTGGCGAACGGATTGACGGATGGGCTGTGCCGACCGTCATTGATCGGCGGCGGCATCCGAGCAGTGCTGATGCGTTTGTCAGCGGGCGTCGCTGCACGGAGCTGGTGATCAGCAGTGCTGATCTGTTGTCGGCCGGCGTCGGAGCACGGAGCTGATGCTCAGCAGTGCTGATGCGTTTGTCAGCGGGCGTCGGCGCCCGGAACTGGTGATCAGCAGTGATGATGTGTTTGTCAGCGGGCGTCGGTGCACGGAGTTTGTCAGCGGGCGTTAGTGCACGAAGCTGGTGGTCGGCAGTGCTGATCTGTTGTCGGCGGGCGTCGGAGCACGGAGCTGGCGCTCAGCAGTGCTGATCTGTTGTCGGCGGGCGTCGGAGTATGGAGCTGATACTACCCAGTGCTGATGTGTTTGTCAGCGGCGTCGGAGCACGGGGCTGGTGATCACACTCCGGCACCCGACAACAAACATGTCAGTTTAGATGCGTTGTCCAGCATGACATGACGTGTGGTCTACACAAACACAGCCGGCCTTGTGGCCATCTGCGCGAGCACATGACGTCATCTACTCGCAATGACGTCAGATGACTGCAGTCGCGCCGGATGCATGCGAGACCATATACCAAATTAAATGCATAATGCAGCGTTTCCATAATCAAACTCGCTGATCATGCAGACATGCTGATCATGTAGATTGCAACCGTTGTATCCTGCTCGCGACAATTGCAGGAGTTTTATGCATACCTGCATCGGATTTACGGTAGAACCTGCAACATTGAGTTGTGGCGGCGCACGCCGTCCAGTTTCAACAATGCACTTGCTACTGCCGACACCTCGCTTTTTTCGACATCTCGCTTTGGACCAATGAAACATGCCGACTTCATCTCAGTGAACATTTGTATCCAATAACTAGATACAAAAAATGCAACGAATGCACCCGCTGATTCTGTGCGCGATTGCAGACGCGTGCCCAATTCGTATGCGGACGCCTCTACATGCCGAATGCATCCATGATTTGCTGATTCGGCGAGGCAGCCGCGTTCGTGCGTCGCATTCGCCTCGAACACAACTGCGGGTCTCGTTCGTCAGTTGGCAGCGGCTGCCTATCCATCGGCCGGCGCCGTCGTAAATATGTTTTTACGCCGCGCATCGTCGGCCGGTCCCGAGTTATGCCGCCTGAACATCAGCAATGTCGAACATCCGGCTTTTTCTCGCGTCGGCCTCGTCGACGAGGGCGCCGGAAACGACGCCGGTGCGCCGGAAGCGTCCGCTCGCCCGCGGCGGCGCACCGTCGGAAACATCGCCGCGGTCCGACCAAGAGCGATTGCCGAGTCACTGGATGGCATGCTATGCGAGGGCGAGGGCCGAGCGGGGAGAAATACAAGGCTTGCTCTTCAGTTGCGAGGTGTCTGACCACGTTAGGTGTCTGACTGGCACGTGTGTTGTGGGAATTCGTTTTTCAATGTTGTTCGAGCGCGTTTAAGTGCACAGTGACTTGCAGAAGGACATATTGTATGCTTAAGATCTAGTGCCATGACATGGCATTGACTCCAACGCCGAGAAAGACAGATGCGGTGCGCTGCTAAATAAGCAAATTGAACGGATGGGCTATGTGTGCACCGTCGGATGGCCGATATGTTCATGTTACCTCGCGAGATTACCACACGCGGAAAAGCCTTCAAGGGGCCTGGAAGCAATTTGCTGTTACAATACTAACACGGTCAACGGTGCGCAGTCGAACTATCTAAAGTGCATGGAGGAGGCACGCACTGAAATCGCAAAATGGACCAAAAGGAAGTAACATCCAAAGGGGTCTATCAAACTGAAAATCATTCTGAGGACGGATCTATCGAAATGTCTTTTCCCGCTTTGGAGATGAGTCGCGTGCCGTCCTAATGAGCCTCGCATGTCTTCAGATGCCGGAGGAGGAGTCCTTCGCCGTGCTGGTGAAGCTGATGGAGGATTACCGCATGCGGGAGATGTTCAAGCCGTCGATGGCCGAGCTGGGCGTCTGCATCTACCAGCTGGAAGTCCTGGTCCAGGTAAAGACGACGGTGGCAGTCTGACCTACCAGCTGGAAGTCTTGGTCCAGGTAAAGACGACGGTGGCAGTCTGACCTACCAGCTGGAAGTCCCGGTCCAGGTAAATGACGACGGTGGCAGTCTGACTGCTTGCAAGTACCAATAGGAAATTGCAAACTTTGCAAGCATTACAAACAAGGCTATCGAGCGTTCTGAGTGAAACTGAAACACCAAGGAAGGGGGACGGAGATGCAACCCGCCCACTACCCAGTTATAATTTTTATTCTTCGTTTTAGTACCCGGGAAATTGATTTCCCAACGCACAACGCCCATGTCCAGAGATAATCACATTTGATCTGCAATCACATTTGACATTTGAATCACAGTTGCCGGGACCAACGTGAGCGTGCTGGGCACCTCGGGTGGGGCTGCAGGGGTCGCCAGAAGGTCAGAGGGAGTCGGCGCCCGTCAGCTGGTGATGCGCGCGTGAGCTCACGGCAGGACGCCGAAATGAAAGGGCGTGGACGGCGTGCCAGCATCGGATTGGCTGCGGCATTGTCCGCACGGCAGACGCTGTCCAATGGTGGCGCTCGGTCATCGCTGGTGATCAGTGATGAGGGCCGAGGGCGCGGGGAAAGTAGAGGGCACGAGACGGGGTAGAGATGAGGGGCGCTGGAAGGCACGTGGGCGAGGGGGAGGGAGATCGTAACCCGTGGTAAGTATCTCATTTGATGGCCCGTTACACCCTCGAAGGTCATATTTCTCGCGGTTAATCGCCTTCGCACGGGCGGCATGCCCGTGATAACACATAAATCACTTACACGGCTGGCACGTTCCTGTTTGCGCCGGTGAGCACGCAAGGAATGTCAGCAAGAGCGCGGACCCTTTGCGGGATGTGTCACTTGACGCTATCTATTTTCGGCAAAAGTGTTGCTGGAGCGACGTGAGCTCCCCGCAGGTCGAGCGGTTCTGCTCGATGCTCAAGCCGAGCAAGACGTCTGAGCACCGCTCGTCTTCATCCTGTCGGGGCGCCTGTCTGGGTCGCAGGTGCGGGTGGCAAAGTTGGGATTCGTTTCCGCCCGGCTGAGTTGAAGGCTCTCGCGTTCCCAGCGGCCCCCGCCAGGCCCCGCTGAACCCGACAGCTGGGAGCGGGGGGGAGGGGGGGGGGGGGCAGAGGGCCGCCCGCCGTGAGATTGTCTCCCAGAAACGGATGGCGCGCCCCGCCCGGGTCCAGATGCGGTCCCGCAGCCGCGCCAGGTCCAATTTTCGGAGCGATCACTCACCTCGCACGGCTGAGGTCACGGGGTCAGCGCCCTGCAGCTGACCCGGCCGGCTCCGGGCCGATTAAAGCTGCACGACCTCCCGGAGCCGGGGCGGTCCGCCGTCGGCTTCTGCCCATTGTCTGCAGGCAGCTGGCGCTCTGCCAACCGCTGACCAGCTGACTGGCGCCAGCTGAGAGGCTGGACGGCAGTCAGCTGACTTGGCTCGGCGGTGAAATCTCGGCCGGGCTATAAGCCAGGCATGCTAACGTGGAATTGGAAACGAGGGATGGGACGGCAGCTTAATGCATTCGGCGCTGACGACTAGCGCCGGATCAGGCCGTCGTGAAGGGAATGAATGTCTAAAATCTCCGCAGAGCTAAAGACTTGAATCTTTGTCCCAACAAAAACGCCTTCTACCTCTGTCCTTTGTTCAGACCACATCACGGCTCAACTATTCAGGACCCGAGGAGGCAGCAGCCGATGTATTCTTGTGAACGGTCCATGCAGCCGACTGTCAAGCCTGCAGAAGTGACACACTGTCCTCTGCCGAGATTCTCCCAGGGTTATCGACAGTGTGTGGGAACAAGGGCAGGCACCAAGCTACAAGTGACACGTGGCAAGTGTGAGATGACGTGTTGAAATGAAACTGTGCGTGGTCTGAAATCCTCGCGAATTCTTTCTTATGGAAGCTCTGCGGCCAACATACCCTGGTCCTTCATGTCTGGAGTCCATATTTCGCGGAAACCTGCGATTGCGAAAGTTCAAATATCTGTTGCATCCCGGCTTGGGGCAGGAATCGCATCAATGTTCCATGTCTGGCGTTGGCAGGCCGCCCCCCCCCCCCCCCCCTCCTGCCACTTGCCACCTGCTGACGGTCAGCCCCGCCCTCTTTTGCACCCATACGGACCTGCCACTACTGCCGTTTTTGCTGGCAGAGCTGTCGGGGCTGCTCTTTCACCCTCGCCACGTCATCAAGGATCTAGTAATCTAGCATCCCGCCGCTCTGCAGCTTGAAGAAGCCTACCCTCCCCTCCCCTACCCGCGCTTGCGGGAGCTGATCCGCTGACTCTGACCCGTCGACGCTGGCCTTCTAAACCTGACCCGCTGAGCCCGATCGGTTGACCCTGACCCGTTGAGCCTGACCCGCTGACCCGTTGACGATGACCTTCTAACCCTGACCCGCTGGCCTCAACCGGTTGACCCTGACCCGCTGACCCTGACCCGCTGACCCTGAACCGCTGACCCTGACCCGTCGACGCTGGCCTTCCAACCCTGACCCGCTGACCCTGACCGATGATACTGACCCGCTTACACTGACCCCCTGGGCCTGACCTGCTGACTCTGACCCGCTGATACTGACGCTGACCGCGACCCGCCGACTGTGCTTTCAGGAGCAGCTGCCGGAGCTGCACGGTCACTTCCAGTCGCAGTCGTTCCACACGTCCATGTACGCCAGCTCGTGGTTCCTGACGCTGTTCACCACGGCGCTGCCGCTGCCGCTGGCCAGCCGCGTCATGGACTGGTTCCTCTCGGACGGCATGGAGGTCATCTTCCGACTGGCCGTCGCCATCCTGATCGTCGGCAAGGCCGACATCCTCAGCCAGGACATGGAGGGCATGTTGAAGGTGGGTGCATGCTGACTCGCTTCGAGAGGAAGCCAGGGCTGGTGGGAAATAAAGTTGTCGCTAGGGGTGGTACGGGCTGTGGAATGTTGAGTTTGATGTGTAAAGGGCCGTCGCTCGCCCGCTTACGTGCCGGCTACACTCGGTTTTCCGCACACTGGCGCAGTGCTACGCAAAATTTCCGCACAATGACGCATCAGGACTGGCCCGGAGTCTGGCGCTTGGACTGTCAGGGAAACCGGTGAGCAGTCTCCTATCGTGCGACCTCGTCAATTGATCAGTCGTTGTCGGCGCTTCGTTTACATGCCACCCGCTGTTTGGACGCGGGCGTGAATTGGCCAACGCGCGAGCGATGTGTGCTCTGGAGCTCGACAAACAGAAGAGCGAGACAAAAACAGGCCGGTCGAGCGTCCAGGGTCGCGTGTCATCGATAGGTCAGTGACCCGGCGTCGCTACAGGGACGCTGGAGGTCACTCACAGCCGTTGAGGACATGCGATCCTCTGATTGCGAAACGGTTAGCGATGCGTCCATGGTGTGCTGCTCCACATAAGAAGACGATGCATTTCGCCCAGTCAAGGCTACGCACCTTTCGAACGGTCACCGACCCGGATTTCGGTGGAGTGAAAGTCACCACTGGGTTCCTCCTCACAACATGCCCGTGAAACGTCATTGTCCGCTGCTCATGACAATGGCGTAATTGTTGCTCATTCGCGACTCAAGAACAGCCACCCACGCCCTCACGTATCACCCGCGCGCCGCCTCCTCCGGCTCCCGGTTCAAGAGCTCTCCATTCAGCGCCGCGCTTAATTCCGAGTACCGGCACCGACAGCAGCACCGGGCCGCCGCGTCCTGCGCCGCCATCTTTGTTTGCCTCGGCACGGCCGGCTGACGCCGAATCACCCTGTCCTAGCCGCTGACGCGAGAAATGGAAGCCGACGGAGGCGATGCCTCCGTCTCGCGCGATTCGTCGCCCCGAACGTCGATGCTTATTCGGCATGGAACGGCGGCCGAAATTGCCGCCGGCGTGGACGGAATCACCGTGCCGGGATCCCCGGATGCGCCTCAGCGTCGTTTGGGGTCACAAGTCATGCTGGGATGGCGCCCGTTTCATTTGTTTCGGCCGTGACTTGTGCCGGGCCGGAGGCGGAGCGGACGGCGACGCCTCGCCGCTGCGGTTCCAGCCTCGCGGGCTGGCGGGTGGCCAGGTCCTGGGAGAGAACATGCCAACGGCCTTCGGGACCCCGCAGAATGTACGGTCTGGGTTCGAAAATGATGCGTCCATTCTGCAGCGAGATATTTTGGGGGGCGATGCATCTGGGCACGTGGCTTCAGCGGGTCGACTGGTGCTGACAATGTCGGGCCGATGAGGCCAATGCGACCCCTCGCACCCTGCGCGTTGTCAGGGAATGCAAATTTGTTGTCTATGAATATCATCTTACCTATTAGCTGAGACAAGAACTCGAGAGACCGCAACAACGTGTGTCCTGTGTCTAGATGGAGAGTGGCATGCGGCAGAGCTTTAGCGACCACACCAATTCTCCTCCACACATGCGCATTTTTTTACATTTGTCCATTGGCAGATGCTCGCCCCAGCTGCTTTGTCATTTCAACCTATTTGAACACTTGCCGGCCGTGATTTCTCGAATCCGAAGCGTCGTGCAGAGAAGGCCGGCGTCTCTGCGCAGTCTGGCTCCGGTCCCCATCCCGATGCGGTGTGAAGGGTGTGAAGCGGTGTGACGCGGTGTAGGGAGGTGTGACACTCGGTGTGACGTGGTGTGAAGCGGTGTGACGCGCGGTGTGAAGGGAGTTCATCCCGCTCCTCGCGTCCACAGTACTTCCAGAAAGAGATGCCAGTGAAGTTCGAGGCGGACCCGGAGAACCACTTCACGCTGGCACAGAACGTCAAGTACAACGCCAAGCGGATGAAGAAGCTGGAGAAGGAGTACACTGTGATGAAAACCAAAGAGCACGAGGAACAAGTAGAGTTAAGGGTGAGTGCTTGACGCGCGTATCTTGTCCTGGAAATTTGTGTGCAATGCAGCCACGAAGCATCGGGCTCCTCATTAAACTCCACGCTTGGCCCCGGCAAACTCATCTCATAACTCGCCCGCACCTGGCACCATGGTAAGGTTTGGTGGACATAGCGTGAAAGCGCATGATATTTTGCTGCATCTCACGGTACGTTGTCGTTGAGGGGGAGCTGTTCGCCGCATGGTGTAGGTAGACATAAAACGAGAAAACTCCAGCTTTGGAATAGTGTCACGAAGTCCCTATAGACAACCTTATTCGTGTATACACAGTCATGCATAAGTCTTTGGAAGCACTGGTGGTGGTGCACTCACATTTATGCGGCGCCCCAGCCCGAACGATCCACCCATCCCTCCCCGTCGAAGTCACGTGGCTGGCCTTATGAATAAGCATCGAGATTGATGAGAGGCGGAGAGGACCTTTGGGTGACCTTTTTAAAGTGTCCCGGAGCCGGTGAGCTCAGGCCGCGGCGATCGTGCTTGCACCATTTTGCTGAAGCCGAGTAGGTCGAGAGGCGGCCCTTGTGTGCTCTGGGCGAATGAGGGAGCGAAGTAACGGCCGTAGTGTGTCAACTAATCGCGCCGTTCTGGGTTTAATCACCGTGAGCCGGCTGTCATGCCGTGAACCGTCCGTATGCTGCGAGCGTAGGAACTGCGAAGTGTATGACCTCCATATGACCTTTGTCGGGCTGCAGATGACATTTTGAGCGCTGCTGCAGCTGTCAGCGACGGTGGAGAGTTTTCAGGGAACTCTCTGTAACTAGCGTGCATAAATGACCTTCGCATGGCTGAACTCCGTAACACTTGCGTGACCACGAACAGGGATAGCAAACTGATGGACACAAGGCCGTGCATGGCCCTGGTTATTTCATTTTTTGGGCATGACGACTGCAATGGCTATTGGATATGGAGTTCAGAACATGTTGAGGTCTCCTGAAACAGTGATGCCTGTCTTATATTTGTGACACTCTGCCCGACCTCTGCCCGACCCCTACCTGACCCCTGCCTGACCCCTGCCTGACCTCTGTCTGACCTCTGTATGATCTCTGCCTAGCCTCTGCCTGGGCCCTGCCTGACGTCTGCCTGACCCCTGCCTGACCTCTGCCTGACCTCTGCCTGACCCCTGCCTGACCACGCTCTTCCTTCGTCAGCGACTGCGGACGGAGAACCGGCTGCTGCGCCAGCAAGTGGAATACCTGGAGGCCGAGTCGGTGGCGCTGGCCGATCGTCTCATCCAGGGCCAGGTGTGCCGCGCCGAGGAGGCTGAGCACAGCTACGTCATCAAGCGCGAGCTCGAGTCGGTGCGCCAGCACAGCGGCGAGACGGCCCAGCAGCTGGAGGAGGCGCGGGCCCGCATCCACAAGCTCTCCGAGCAGATGAACGAGTCGGTGAGCGTGGCGGCGGTCGTGGTACCGCGGTGCGTTGCAGTTGATAACGTTTTCAAGACCGTTGTGGGAATGAATTGAGGTTTGGATTGGTTGTTTTTACTCAACGACTAAAGAATCCACTTAGAAACGTTTGGCGGGAGCTGAAAGGTCTTGACTATGTACAAATTCCCAACGATGTTTGGCAGTGATGGATGCACGTAAGTGGATCGGTCCATACCCGTGCTCAGCACTTTAATGGATCCATGAACCTAGCGGCCAATCTCACTCTTCATTTCAAAACAACCATGTTTTTTCTGGGACATCCAGCAAGTCTGTTTCGCTGGAGACAAGTGCAGGTGTCGCCCAGTGTGACGCTTTTGTTCGGACTGGGTCATCCCAACATGACCCTTTGACCGCCCGCTCGCCCTCCTCGCGCTCTTGAGTCGCACTCCCTCACGCCCATGCCGGCCTCTCTTGCAGAGCTCCAACGAGGACTCGCTGCAGGAGCTATCGCTCAAGACGGAGCTGCTGCAGCAGAAGGAGGAGCTGATGCGATGTCTGCAGGACGAGCTGGTTAAGGTGCGGCTGGAGCACGCCGAGAACGAGGCCACCATCCGCGAGCTGAGCGCCCGCTGCGACCAGCAGGACAAGGTGAGAACGCGCTGCGACCAGCAGGACAAGGTGAGGGTGTGCTGACTGGACGCGTGACGGCGCGCTGGCTGGACGGGTGACGGCGCGCTAGCTGGACGCGTGAGGACGCGCTAGCTGGACGCGTGAGGACGCGCTGGCAGGACAAGGTGAGGGCGCGCTGACTGGACGCGTGACGGCGCGCTGGCTGGACGGGTGACGGCGCGCTAGCTGGACGCGTGAGGACGCGCTGGCTGGACGCGTGAGGACGCGCTGGCTGGACGCGTGACAGCGTGCTGGCTGGACGCATAAGGACGCGCTGGCTGGACGCATGACAGCGTGCTGGCTGGACGCGTGAGGGTGCACTCGCTCGGGCAGGGGGGATCCGGGGCCGCCGTTCCCTGAGCCGCGAATAAGCGCCATATGTGCTCTGTACTAAGAGCCACTCCCGTCTTGTGATCTCAGATTTTACGCCGAATGTTTTTGGAAATGAGTTGATATTTTGGGGGAATTATGCGGGGAAGGAGGCGAATAATCGCGCGTTGAGTGATTAAGTCAAATCTTCCCTCGCAAAGAATGGGTTTCATTCGGGCCGAGTCTGATTCTAGCATCACTGGTCAGGACCATGACACTCGCACTAGTCTCTGATCACGGATACCGCATCGTGTCAGGGATATGTCGAGTCGTTTCGCTTGTTCTGGATGAGCCTGCGCCTGGTATCACCACGCCAAGATTGCAACGCTGACACCAGTCTCCCATCGCTGCCGACTGATACCACCGTGCGTGACGCCACCTTCGCCGCGTAGGAGCTGCGGCAGCTCAAGGACCAGCCGCCGGAGGACCCGGTGGCAGCCCTGCAGGAGGAGCTGGCTGCCGCCAAGCAGCGCGAGGCGGACGCCGTGCTGGCGCTCAAGGAGCTCCAGCAGACGGTGGCAGATCTCAACGTCATGTGGAAGCGGCACCTGGAGGTGCGTGGGCCGGCGGACGGCTGGTGCGAGCGCCGCCGAGCGGCGGTCATGTGAAACTCTGCTGCTGGGACCGTGCACTAGATGGTGACGCTGACCGGTGTGTTACAGTTGGTGACATGTTACTGCGTACTCTGATGTGTTGCTGGCCGGTGACGTAACAGATAGCTCAAAATTCGAACATGCTTCAGGGACCTGGCTCTGCCACCCAGCCACTCTCCGTGACCTCTGTGACGATGCCACCGCCGCCGCAGGAGAAGGAGAAGCTGAAGATGTCGGTGGAGGCGGGTGGCGCCGGCGGCCCGGACACGCCGACGATGCGGACGCCGACGGCGGCGCGCAAGCTGCTCTTCTGGAGCACCAGCAGCGAGGACACGTCCCGTCTGCAGGACGAGCTGATGACGTCACGACTGAAGGAGATCGAGGCCGTGGCCGAGATGAAGCAGATGGTCAACAAGATGATGGAAATGGAGACGCAGGTGGGCTGTGGGTTGGAGACCCGGGTAGGGAAAGGCTTAAGTTTGGAAAGGAGAATTTTGGTGACTGCATCAGCTGAAAATGTGGTCACAAAGTGGTGTGGTGATCCTTACGCTGGTTGGTGGCACGCTGGGTGTTTTTTGGTCCGCATTGATAGCATTATTTTAATTTTTGTGGACTAGGAACAAAAGCTCGATTGACGAGCGTGCGTCATCCTTCCTCGGCAATGTAATATGCCCTCCTATTGACTCACAGGTTCAGGTGACCACCAATCAGCTGCGGCGACAGAGTGAGGAGCACAAGAAGACTCTGGAGAAGGTAGAGTTCCTGGAGACTGAAAACAGACGTCAGGCAGACGAGATCAAAGACAGTCAGAGGAAGTTCTCCGATCTCCAGACCAAGGTACGACCGCTGGAGGGACGGGCCCCATCTCATAAGACCACGTAACACAGTCATGACTCAAAAACGCGTAAGTGGAGGGGTGGCGCTATCTAATGAGATTCCCCCAGACAAAGAGGCTTTAAATAGAGTGAGCCGGTTTCCGTTGCTGTTAACTGCAAACATGTGCACCATGCATGTCACACGACTGACGGTAATCCTGCTGTTGTAGAACTGCGTTAAACTTCGCGGAAACGCGTGGAGAAGTAGGTGCATCTCTGATTGCTCTCCTTGCCTTATGTGTGTGCTGCCTGACCAATCTCCAGTGGATGCGAGAGATGCGAAGAGCGCCTTAGTGGTGAAAGGCAGGCGTCGTCGCCGCGCTGGGAGCGACCTGCTGCTCTTGCTATCAGTTCCATGAAACACATTTCAGCGCTCTATGTCACCTCAAACCCAGTAATTTCTGGACGGCACTGGCGCTTCTTCGACTTCTTCGAAGTTTTTGTGTGCTTCGAGCGACATGCATTTACGCCGCGAGAACATTCGAGACGGCGTTCAATTCCAGCTCACGTTAGTCGCTTCAACTACAGTGTCGCATTGGACAGATGCTGTCAGCGATAGGGTTCCCTTTCGCCGGACCCCTGCTTCATCCCAGCCCAGTTGTCTCCCGGAAAAGCTTCTTCAAATCTACAGGGCAATCTATATGGGCATTTTTAAAGCTGTACTTGCTTGCCAATATCACATTTTAAGTGAAAACGTGACTTGGTGAAGGGCTTTAGCGGGATCTTTTTGTTGTTTATTTGTTGGCGTTTTAGGACACGCCATTTGCTATGGTCGTTTTGCGCCCATCTCAACTTTAATGGGATCCCCTTTATCATAATTTGGGTGCCTTTTGTCAACGCCTGTGTTAAAAAGGTCACCAGCTTCAGCAAGGCTGGAGGGATGGGGCTTCTCCAGAGCCCCGAGTGAAATTCGGGACCTGTGAAAGTCTCCCGCGGCGGGAGTCGAACCCAGGCCATCCGATCCGTGTCGACCACGGACGCTGGGCTGAACTGGAGCCGGGTCGTGAGAAACAGACCGCTGACGGCGCCGTCGGCCCGCTCTCCGTCAGATGAAGGAGGAGCTGATGCTGGCCCGGATCCGGGACGCCGAACACACCCAGTGCATGGCCGAGCTCACACACAAGCTGTGTAGCTTGGAGCTCAAGGTAGAGCATGCGGCAGCCAGGCTGGCCATAAGCAACATGGTAAACCACGTGATCAGCACGTGCTCGGCATGGCGGACCGCTTCCGACGAACTTGGTTGGCTACGCGCTGCCCTGACTGAGTTGCTTTACCATGCTGTTTGCGCAGTGCTGGCCGCATTTGAGTAAACACCGGGAAGTAAATCGTATGTCTGTGGCGCAGGTTTGCCTGGATTTGGCCCGAAAATGCTACTTTTGAGTTGATTTCATGTCATAGATACAGGCTGAAACAGCGCCTAACAATGCAAATTAACATGTTTGATTTTTGTTGAGTCTTTCTTTTTGGTAGGTGATTTTTGTTTTGTATCTGCGTCGGTGTTGTCCAATGGTTTTCATTCTGGGGGCTCAGATGCGTTCCACTATAACTGTCAAACGTCAGACATAATCCGATCATACGTTCAGGGCTCAGCATAAAACGTGCATAAGAGGCCCGTACACTCTCATTTCTGCATTTCGCGTGAAGCTTCTTAGCACAGCCTCTTGCGCGAGCCGGCTCTCCAGCTGCACCCCCGTTGGCGTTCTGTTGCGCCATGCAAGCTGTGTGGTCCGGCGTTCGCAGAACCACGAGCTGCTGGCGGAGGGCGAGCTGAATGGCGTCGGCGAGAGTGACCGCGTCAAGGAGCTCTCCGACAAGGTCGCCGACCTCAAGGCCGAGGTGAGCCGGCGCCAGGGGCGGTCGCCTGCGAGGCGCGTCCGTGTGTGACGTCACATGCGCGTCTCCCGCGCCCGTGGGCAGAGGCACCAAGCCCTAACCTGGTGCGGGCGTTGGTAACACATGGAGAGATCTGGTTGACGTGTTTGCACTCATCACACTCTGTCTCTTGTCACCGTGAACTTTTCGCCACTGTCCGTCTGGTAATATGGTGCGATATGTCTCACGCGCTATATGCTCACCAACTGCCTGCGTTTTGCAATCTCGAGCTGGCGCGAGACCGATGGAGCCCCTGAATTTCCGTGTTCACCTTACCGTGCTGCTGTTGCCCGCCGTCTCCTCTGACTCGCCACATGCACCAGCACAGTGCACTGCGCCGAGACCCTGTGCACTGCGGCGTGCGCGCACGCGTGCGCACTGCAGCGTGTGGTCACTGACTCGCCGTCTCCCCCCTCCCTGCCCTCCTCGCCGGCGCAGCTGCCCCTGTCGTTCGTGCGCGTGCCCAGCATGACCTCCCCGTCTCCTCTGCCGTCGCCGATGTTCGAGTGGGGCGGTCCCCTGCCTGGCCTCTTCTTCCTCCGTCCCAAGCACCTATAGCGCCCTGTGCTGCCTCGGGACGGGTCTGGAGTAAGTGCCGGTTGGGCCGTGACGCGGTGCTCGCGCTGCATGGCTGGTGCTTCCGTCGTACGGTCGGCCCCGCGTCAGATGAAATGCCACCCGCTTCTCTTTCGTTTCTAGCGTTTTAGCGTCGGGAACAGCTAGAATTGTTCTGCCGCTCCGTATGCTTGAAGCGACCTCAGTGTGCCGTGTGAAAATACGATACTATGCCACCGTGCCTTTGGTACCGACTCTACCTGTCGGTGTAAGAGACTTCCAACGTGCAGAAAAGACGCCAATTTCAACGTAGACGATGATGATGATGATGATGATGATTTGGGCTTTGGGGCGCACCGACTACGTTGGTCATATGGCGCCCATCAACGTAGACCAGTTATGCTTAAGGAGTAACGATGCGCACGCATGGCTATAGCTGCTTATAAGAGCATGCTTAGCTTGATCTTTATATTGCATAGTGATCGATTCAACGTTTTTTTTGCGGGACTCCAGACCGCACGTGTCTAAATGAAACGGTACTGTACTAAAAGTATATAGAAATTGAAGATCGACAATATATATGCTGTCAATGTTATATGATGCTAGATAAACGCATGCGGCTAAGGCCAGACGTTATATGCTACATGTTTGTACCGTATTGTTTCAGTGTACTTGAACCGGTAGTGGCTGTGTTTTTAGTATTTCATAATCAGTTGATATAGGTTTCCGGGGTGGGGTGGTACCTTACTGTGCTGTCATTTCAAGACCTGTTCGCACTTCTGGAACTCGGGGTACGGGTGAGGTCTTAAGTCACAACTATCCGATAGCAGGACAATGCATGTTTCCTATGCTTTGCAACAAGCAGGTGTATGCTGTTTTCACTCCAATTTCTAAGGAAGGCTTGCTTATTTGAGTGTGTGATGAAAAAGCCTGGTCTTCTCTCAAGTTGTATGTGTATTTAACCCTAATTACTTAAGGTGCATTACGTGAAGTATTTAGTGGGGCAGGTCACCACTGGAAGCTTTTAGCCGCCACGCTGTCATATATGGTGGAATGGTTTAGTCTGTGGATGCATTCCCCGTGAGCCAGCTCCCACGGTGTGGGACAATGTGTCACTCTCGCGGTCGCCTTCACTGCGTCGTGCGGCGTCAGTGCTGCCTCCCCCCCCCCCTCCCCGGTCACTACGTGGGACGTCACGACAACCCCCCGCGCCTCCCCGCCCGTCACACCTTGGTGGATCACTCCCGATCCGCGCCGCCCTGCTGAGCCGCCCCCCCCCCCCCCCCCGCCGCCAGATCCTGCTGCTGAAGCACTCCAACCGGTCGCTGAACAACCAGGTGCAGATCCATCAGATCCTGTCGCCGCGTGTCAGCGTCGGATCTGCGTCCGAGGAGGAGGATCTGCGCCTCAAGCTGGACGACGAGCGGCCCGGCTCGGCCCAGCTGGCCGCCGCCAGCTAGCATGAGGCCCAAGGCGGCGGCGCGCACCAGTCACCCTGGCGGCGGATGGGCATACTGTCTTGGTAGACGGTGCTCCCATCTGCCGGTGCGCGTCGCCGCCTTCGGCTAGCCGACGGCCGAGAGGTGGCGGGCTTGGGATCGGACGACCGACCGGCGATATGTCCTGGCCCGGCGCAGGAACTCAACGAACGGAAAGCGGCAGACGCGTGGAGTGGGCGGGAAGAATCTCATTTTGCACGCTGTTTGGACCGAACTGAAGGCTGCTCGCCGCGCGCTGCTGGCGTATGTGTTCGGTGTTCACCGCTAGGAGCAGTGCCGGCGCCACCGGCGCCTGCGCACCTCAATGTTCCCTCCCGACAGCTGCCGATGCCCCGGGGCGCGCGAGCCGCCCGGCGTCTGAGCGTGGGAAGATGTTAATGATAGATGATCTGTGATACGCCGTACGTTACTGGTTGTCGTTGCAAGGCACTGGGGTACGGGGACGGCGTGTGCTTTAACGTGATACAGTGTGCGTGGTGTTCATGAGTTGGTCTGGACTTCGGCCGGTTGCCGTGGCAACCGTGGATTGTGATCAGAAATTTGCATTCCGAATGTTTTCCCTCGGTGTGAGCAATGAATAACCGTTTGCAATGGCGGTGCTGGATGTAATTTATTGCTGCCTCCGTGGCGCTTTTCGCCAGAGTCCTATTTATTTCCTGCCGATGTTTTCGAGCCCGAAACCAGCGTTTACATTTTCGTAATGTTCTTGTAACTATAGCTGCTAGAAGCCTAATCGTGAGTTGTTGATAGTGACGGTACATCAGTACCGTCTGCACCGTGTCGCCGAACACCGTTAACACCGACCGTGGCCGAGCGATGCCGCCTCGAAGTGCCGGCACTCGCAACGACGGGGGACACTCGCCGGGCACTCGGCGGAGTGGGGGCACTCAGCACTCGGGAGCACGCGCCGTCGTCAGCTGAACTGACGAGAGCACGCTCCGCCAGTGCTGGTGACGGGCTGGTTCCCGCAGAGAGCACTCGTTATAGTTGGTGCTGAAATCAGTCAATAAATGGTTTACACTCATTGCAGTTTGAGCGCCGTGCACGGCGTGGGAGGTTGCCAAGGCGATTTGTGATGGATGGGATGAAGGCCCTCAGCATCTGCCTGCGATTTAGTCCTTGCTAGACGCGTGACCCACAGCCACCAAATTACTGCTGTTGTTGCCAGTGTTGTCCATCCTTCGACTACATAGCGCGAAACGATGTGGGTCTCTAAAACGGCATCTCATCGTTGAATCTATGGCGGTTGTGGGGGTTCGGACACGGCGCGAAGGTGGCTGCGCACGCTGCCAACGAGTCACGCCTGTGCGTTGCTTCATCACACAAACGCAGTCGTGTGTCCGCTCGTTGTCAGGCTGTTCAACACTCCGAGGACGCCAGCCAATCGCTGCGCCGCGCCAGAATCACTACAAAGCCGCCGCGCGCCGCAGGGGACCAATCACGGCACGCGGTGCCCGCCCTTCCTGCCAGGGCGAGAGGCAGGCGACGCCATATAGCCTCAGCAGCTGAGTGCGTCGTAAATCCCCAACGACACACGCACACACACACGATCACGGCACTGGGAGCCGCACGAACGGTACCATACCAAAAGGAACAAAATTAATTGGACAACCAGGATGGCCAATTCCATCACCAAAGCACACACACTGATCACCAACGGAAGAAGCGAGCCGAAGCGACCAGATTATTATCACAAGGCTGAGTCGTCGCCTTTGGTGCCAGTTAAAATCTGGCATGGTAAAACGGCCAGACCTCATGGCTAAAATCACCGACAATGGATGGACGGGCATTGAAAAGGGCAAGGCATCAATCACCAAAAGTAATTAAATTCAGGAGTCCTGAAGAACCCCTGTTTGGTCCCAGAGTGCATGAATAGCCAGCCCTGCTATATTGTCTCGTTGTGGACCATTTCTTTGAATTTTCTCGTGTTTCTTTTCCATGTCAGGCAACGAGGAACTCGACCAACGCAAGCGGTTCTCTGCATTCGGGTTTCCGTCTTGTTTTTTTTCTTCAATAAAGTGCGTCTCTGGTCGACCAGGAGCCCTCGCCGACATAGGCTCCCCTGTAAGTCCCTCTGTGCCTTGATACAGGGAGACGCATTGTTGCAGGGGCTCCGGTGAACGCAGGAGGCCTTCAGTAACTAATACGAACACTGGTCTTGTCCCTGCTTCGTAAATAGGACCCCAGGGTCCAAGCCGACTCAGAACAGCTGCTCAGCATTGGTGGTCTCCGACCTATATAGACGCCCTTGTCGTTCGGGGACGCCGCAGACGCGACAAGTCCCTTTGGCTGACCTTTGAGGGTCAGGCATCTGCCCCGGCGTCGTCCCCCGGCCAGCCCTTCGGACCCTCCAATCGGGCCCTTACTAGGTTGTGCTGATGGTCCTGAAAGTCACCCGGGCCAACAGGAGGCCATGTCCAATGTGTCCCCACCAGCTGGCTACGGCCCTGGATGTGTAGGTATGAACGAAATTTAATGGTAGTCAGCGACTCGATCCCACAACGCAACCACCTACCTGGTGAAGTGGAAACTATTCTTTCTCGGTATTTCCTTCGTATATTTGCTAAAGTAAGCAGACATAGTACAGTCAGCTTCGTTGAACCGGTGATAGCAACGTTGACGGCAATAATCCAATCGGTGGTAGTGTTCATTTTGGCTGTGATTCATCCAGTCTGGTACAAGCGGCCAGTTTGGTCAATTTCAAGTCAATTTTGGTGACCGATTAAAGGGGAGCCACACCAAATCCAGCCGGTGAAGGGAGAATCCAGACGCTTGGGTGTTGTGTGCACAGAACACTGGCGCATAACCACTGATTAGCCGCCTCGGGGCCGCATCCAGCCGTCCCCAGCGGCCGAACAGCTGACTGGTCAGCCGATCTGCCACCAGTCAGCTGACTAGTCTGACAGCGCCCAACAGCTGACTGCGCCCGGCTGCCAGACAACAGTCGAGCGGGCCAGAGTCCAGCCACGAGCACCGCCCCTCACGCAGCTGGCGTAACGTTGCAGCTGGCAGCTGGCGCCAGCTTTTCCCCGACAGATATTATCGCAGGACTCTCCTTGACGCCCAGCCTGCTGTACAAACGCTTGTATCGGTTTGCCCTCGCTGGGCTGACTCATGGCGTGGTTTGTTTATAGTGCGGGATGCTAACGCCGAACGACACAAAACCCGCTTGCAGACGGCCAGGCAGCCCTACCCTTGACAGTTGGTGTCCAGCAGTTTTACCACGTACTTCATCATGTCCGCCTGCCAGCCGCGTTACCGTACAGCGACGACCACCGTGGAACCCACGTGCTGAAACAGTCGTCAGCGTCTTCCCGCGCTTTCGATTTTCCCACCGCTCAGCCGAGCCGCCCCGCTGCATGACACCCAGCGCAAGCCGCAGCTCGTGCCAAATACCACGGCGCTCGTCTGCTCAGAAATAGCCGGTTGCCGGAGCCCCGTCGTCGATAACGCTGCAGCCCTCGCCATTAAAACAACGTCCACGTTGGTGTGATGTATACAACTCGCTTCAATTTTTCGCTTTTAATACCAAAAATACCTCCATAAAACATCGAGAAGAGACTTAAAACAGCAATAAAACGGGACAACCGCAACAGCCCAAGCACACCAATACCACATACACTGGCAGACAGGGTGGCACGCGCTCGCGCCCGGCTGGCGCCGCCCCTTTGGCGGAGAGTGACACTGCGCCGCGCCCGCGCCCCGCCATGCCGCCGGCTGGCGCATAAACTCTGTCCAACGCGTAACACGGCTGTTGCGCCCGCCGGCCGGCGCGTGTTAAAAGCGACCGCGGCGGCCGCTGGTTAAAATGGAAGCGTGCTTCAGCTACCACTCCTTCTTGTGCTCGTCCATGGAGACGCCGCCGGGCCCAATGGAGACCAGCATGAGCAGACCACCCACCACCGACAGAGTCTGCCGGCGGAGAGAGCGCGTGAGGGCGCAGCAGGGCATGCAAGGCCGACCCCACCGGTCGCGGCAGGTGTTACACTTGTAGGGGAGGATGGTGTAGCGACGGGAGAACAGCGCCCGGTGCACGCCAAACACCTGGGAAATGAGCTTCGGTCGAGGCCGACAAAGCAGTGAGAGGGGCTGAACTTTGGTCACAAGAGATAAACGGAGGCTTTGCTCAGGTTATTTAGCTACAACAGATACAGAACACAGCTGATAAGGCACAGGGCGAACACAAGTAACCTGGCAAAACGCGCGGCTACAAAAATGAAATAAACGGGAACGGAATGAAACTACCATGTGACATCACGTTTTTACACGCGGCACTAAACCGTGATACAATCAAACGCGAGAGTACCCAGACGCCAGGGCCGGGGTACACATCACCATACCCCCCCCCCCCCCCCCCCCGCCGGCCATACTCCCATCCCAGAGCCCAGCACGGCCGACCCAGCCGGGCCGTGACGTCACGTCGGCAGCGAAAGTGGCCGTTGCCGCCGAGGTCAGCCGGGTCGAACTGGGTCCTCTCGCCGCCGCCCCCCCCCCCCCCCCCGCCCTCTGCCCGGGCCGTGACTCGGCCAATCCGGCGGCAGGACGGCGTGGCCGAGCCGCATCAGCCCACATCTCATGGACCTACGGAGACACGCCCAGAGGCCACAGACGGGCTCTACTGAAGTTTCCCAACACGGTGCGCTTCATAAATAATTAACGCAAGGACGCGTTCGGACGAGGACGATTTGCAGGTTCAGACGATCCCCTCCCTCTGAGATTTTTACGTGCGCTCGGCCACCTAGCGCATAAATATCTTCACCTGCGCCCTAAATGAACCGATCACGAAACGGACCGGTTTACGGCAACACCCATTCAAACTCGCTCCCAAGCAAATGGAATTCAAATCGCGGAGAGCATAATGCTACGACCCAGCCGTCGCCAGCCCTTACAGCTCAGAAGAACGTCGATATTTTTCCTCGGTAAGAAATCGTCCCCAGAAACTTCGCGACAATTCCACGGGAATGTTTCCCAGGATGCCCTGCCGTTGCCTAACGGCCTCCCTCCCGCAGTTTATAAAAGTCGGGCCGTGCAGCGTCTCCAGTCAATGGCGGGAACCCCACCCGTCCGAACGCACGACGACCGTCACCGTAAATTATCCGACCAGCTACAATTGACAAACACGCGCTGGGACGAGCGTCACACACGGACGCGTCAAAACATTAACATACTGGGCCATCCCATCCCGCAACGTCACAAGGCGCCGCACGGCACCGCAGCACGGCGACCACGGCAGTAAGCGGATCCCCTGGGCCTTACCTGGAAGAAGTCGTACTTGAGGAAGTCCCGCATCGGCTTGTAGGAGGGCACGGACCACCATGCGTTGACGTAAAAGTTAAGTGCCATGAGCCAGGCAACTAGCAGCAGAGCAGAGAGCTTTGTCTTGTAGCCGATCGTCACCAATACCATGAGTACGGAGCCGATGATAATCTGAAGACACGACCTTGACGTTACATGGCCATCGATGGATGAGCTTGGAGAGCCGACCGCGGGTCATTTTACGACAGTATTGGGCCAATATAAGGCCACATTGGACACACCTGGGGGCCATTCTGCGCCGCACGGGGTCCATATGAAGAGAAGGGGCGTACTGTGACGAGCTCGCAGCCTTCGACGACCGATCACCCCGCCCGAAGCACACCCGTTGAGACGTTGCAGGCAGAGACGACGCTTTGCTTCAGGCGTCACACGGAGACCTCCGCATTTGGTCAGCTAAATGGCCGCACAAAGTATGCAATAACAAGTCTCCCACGTCGTCAACAACCCACACAAAGAGCGGGGCCGCTCCAGGGACCTGACACTCTGACTAGGAAGGATTATTACGAACCATGAACTCGGACACAGCGACAGGGCATTTACAGTTGGCCTCTTCCGACTCCCGTAACCGCTCGCCGCCGACAAAAGAGAGGGTCGCCCCGTCCGGAACGCACCTGCACAATCTGCATCGGCGACACCTCGAAGCGCAGCAGGGTCAGGAACATGAACACCAGCAGAATGCGCCCGGCCAGCATCAGGTACGTCTTCTGC